AAGATGCGATGGTTCGTAGTGATTTTACCTCAGTGCCAACTGACGACAATAAGAGCAGTTTTTCGTGAAGAATTGAAAACTCACTTCTAGCATACAGTTGTTTTAGAACACCATGTTCCGTTCCTAATTTGTAGAAACCGCCCTCGACGCTCATGACAACTGCAATCACGCTTCGGGGATCACCGTGACCTCTGTCAACATCTGGAAAACGGATGCATACATTGTCACCCACTTCACCATCTTTAAATTTTGTATTTGATGTTTTAAGCATCTTAGCACCTTGAGTTTGCAAGCCAGTATGAGCTGCTGATCTGTGTTCCATGATGTCTTGTTTGTTGTGACACAATCTGCAGGTAATGTTCCCTCCGTACCCTTCGTCTGCTTCATTGGGTATTCCACAAATAGCATGGACATCGTTGCCACAGGATCCAAAAGAATGAGCTGCACTACAATGTTTTTCACAAACTATATAGAATCTGGTCTGGGCGTTCCACCACGGCAGTAGATGTGTTAGCTGAGGATGTCGTTGCATTTATGGCAACCTCCATTTCTTGTTCAATGTTCTCAAGATCTTCCCCAGTAACTATTTTATCGAGAGCCCATATATTATGGAAACTAACATGGATTTGCATTTTTTTTTCTTTTGACAGCCATTTGCTATGCCTGTCTCATGGTCTGACGGCCCTTTTGATCCATGTCGCCTTGCATATTGCATATTGCTATACAAACAAGAGCTAAACAATACGTTACTCTCAATGAAAACGCACACAGAATAATGAAAATGCGATCACAACTTAGTCTAGATAGAACATTGGCCAGGACATCCCGGCCAGTGCGCGCATTGGCCGGCCAATGTACAAAATACGCTGTCAAGTTTAAGCGCTTCGGACTTTGGCCAGTACGTCCCGGCCAGTGCGCGCATTGGCCGGCCAATGTACGAAATACGATCTTAGTGCCAAGTTCTTCGGGCTTTGGCCAAGAGAGCCGGCCAATGCGCGGATTGGCCGGCCAATCCGCGCTTTGGCCGCACTTCGGGCTTTGACCGTAACATATATATATATATATATATATATATATATATATATATATATATATATATATATATATACTATTTTTATTTTAGTATTTATTAATATTCCGTCAAGGGGTGGACATGCTAAAAGGGGGGTGGGGACACCTCGCCCCTACACGAAGAGATGCCTAAAGCACTGCACTTTACTGTTTACACAGTCAGTGGTTTGGCTGGAAAATCCTGACATTTAAAAAAATGAAAAAAAAAACAGGTTTGAAAGGACAGGTGGTGAGCGGTGGTTGTGACGGTGGTTGTGACGGTGGTTGTGACGATGGTTGTGACGGTGGTTGTGACGGTGGTTGAGAAATGCTGCAGCCACGGTGCAGTTGTTTTGATCCGGCCGTACAGTGCACGACATTAACATTTCTAGGTCAGGAGAAAAGTCGCCGGTAGATGCCGCATTAAGTTTATGCAAATTAGACCATTTTGTGTTAAGAAAAAACCAGGAGGAAATTGGGTCAATTCGATCGGTTTTTTTAAACTTTTCTCTTGAGATTATTTTTTTTTAGTTTAACTATATTTTTATATATTATGATGTATTATGAAATGAACAATTACTTATTTTAAATGACACAAACTACACATGAATTATATATATCTTTTTGAAATGCGCTTTTATAAGTTAAGCTCAAATTAGCTTATGTGTATATTTTTTAATTGGGGATTTTGGACCCATAATATTCAACAAAGGTATATGAAATTTCCACCACCCCTCACAAACAACATTTATTATTTTATAAGACACACTCCCCCATCATAAAGACATAAGTTACTGCTATACGAGTTTGGTATTTAAAAATCTGAAAAACAAATTACATGAAAAAAATATCAAGCACTTTTTCACATTCATTACAACGTCTGATAAAGAGTGCGATAGATGAGTTATTCGAAGCGGCTATGTTTTGGATAAGAAGAATTAATAAAAAATCAAATACATTTTTATACAGTTTAGCTCAGCACCCTAGCCTTGTACTATAATTCAAAATATAATCAAATAATAAACCACCAACAAAACCTTTTGTTTTATTTTTCTTTGTGCACGATCCCATATGTCAACAATTTTTATACATGCCAGAGATACAGTTTTTTTTTCTTTAACAACACGATCCACTTGCTAAGAAAGAAAAAGCAACATTTTCTAAGATGTTCCTTTTTCTTCAAGCGAGAAACCTTATATGAACAGAATTCATTTTACTAAGGCTAAAGACGTTTAGAATATGAACGGGGACACTTCCACAAAGCGAGAAACTCAAGGTGCTAATGTATCATTGTCAAAGCAAGGTGCCAGTGGTCACGGAGACATTTGTTTTTCTTGCTGAATGGACGCTCGTGTTTCCGCTGGTCATAACTAATTTCTCTTCTTGGGCCTTGACATGTGCCAGATAAAAATACATGACATGCGATCTGCGACACGGTGACCGGTCATGTCGAGAACTGCGTGAGTCTCCATACGGCTGGAGGATTAGCCGGACACTGACCAAGTGTCATTAGAAACTGACCAGTGTCCAGTTAGTGTGTGTGTAGGTGGGGGGGGGGGGGTGACGACGGAGCGGATCGTGTCAGGTGGTCGTGTTTGGCATGACATTGGAGATTCATCTGTCTGTGCGTGGCCATCACGACTAATTGATGGTAATAAGTTTTGATAGGTGGCCAATTGTGTAGGTGACCGCTTGTTCTGATAGTTGGCCAATTGTGTGGGTGGCCGCTTGTTCTGATACTTGGCCAATTGTGTGGGTGACCGCTTGTTATGATAGATGGCCAATTGTGTGGGTGGCCGCTTGTTATGATACGTGGCCAATTGTGTGGGTGGCCGCTTGTTCTGATAGGTGGCCAATTGTGTGGGTGGCCGCTTGTTATGATACGTGGCCAATTGTGTGGGTGGCCGCTTGTTCTGATACGTGGCCAATTGTGTGGGTGGCCGCATGTTCTGATAGGTGGCCAAATCTGTGGGTGGCTGCTTATTCCGATACTTGGCCAATTGTGTGGGTGGCCGCTTGTTCTGATCGGTGGCCAATTGTGTGGGTGGCCGCTTGTTCTGATACGTGACCAATTGTGTGGGTGGCCGCTTATTCTGATACGTGGCCAAGCTGATATAGAGAAGTGTGAAGGCTGGATTAGTAGATCGAGATGTCAAGGTATTGTTTCACTAAAGTTGTCGAAAATCCCTGGCCTAGAACAATATCTTGTGGAAAAACTTCATGGGCGAACAGTCATACGTGGCCCATTAGTCTGATACGTGGCCATTTGCGTGGGTGGCTAGTTGTACAGAGAAGTGTGAAGACTGGATTAGTAGGTCAAGATGTCAGGGGTCTGTTTCACTGAAGTTGTCATTAAGCCCAGGGGACTGTAATAAATATCAAGTGAAACACTTCCGTAGGCGAAGTAGTTTTGTATTGCAATACGTTGTCGTGCATGACCGATTTTGTGGCTGGTCAATTGTAAGAGTGGCCGGTTTTGTGTATACAAGTTTTGATACATCGCCATCAGTGTAGGTGGCCGAATGTATATTTTTTTATAACGGTGCCCGTGGTGACGTGTATATGTAAATTGTGATATATGGCCAAGAGTGGATGGCCACATATATAAATGAGCTGTGATACGTGGCCATGTGTGAACAGCCAAATATATATATTAATGAATTGACATATGTGGCAAAGTGTGGATCGCCACACATATAAATGAGCTGTGATATGTAGTCAAGAGCGTAATAGCCAGATGAGTTGAGATACATCACATTTATAGAGCTGGTCGGTATTTGTATTAGACTTTTAGAACACAGAGCACACAAAATACACATTACACTCATTACTTTTCCTCTCAGGAGGGGGGCTTGCTGGCCACTGACTAAACTGGCATATTGCTATACCCCCAAAGGGTACAACTTACATAATGTGCTGAATACACAATTTCTTCATTAGCCAAGGTCTGTTCCCTCTAAAGCTGCGCGGTTGCGCAGTAATTTTGAACTTGTATAAGACTGTTGTAACACAGCACACTCAATACACGTTGCACACTAACTTTTTCACCTAAGAGGGAATGTTGGTTACAGGGATTCGAAGTAATCTTGCTGAAGAAGGTTCACATTAACTGTATACTGTAGTGTGTGGTCGTGTAGGACTAAGTTCATATTAACTGTATACTGTAGTATGTGGTCGACTTAAGTTCATATTAACCGTATACTGTAGTATGTGGTCGTGGAGGACTAAGTTCATATTAACTGTATACTGTAGTATGTGGTCGTTGAGGACTAAGTTCATACTGTATACTGTAGTATGGGGTCGTTGAGGACTAAGTTCATATTAACTGTATACTGTAGTATGTGGTCGTGTAGGACTAAGTTCATACTGTATACTGTAGTATGTGGTCGTTGAGGACTAAGTTCATATTAACTGTATACTGTATAATACTGTCGTGGAGCAATAAGTTTGTAGACTTGCAGTTTAAAACACATGGTTGATTTACCGTTGAATCAGGTTTAATGGAGTAAAAAGTAAAAACAAAGTTCCAGGGAAATGGTAGGAGAAAAATGTATTTGGCGCTGAGTACATTGGTCCACATAATCAGTTTGGTATCACAGAGTTGGTACAGCATACAGCAAGGTACAGCAAACACAATACAGCATACATCACATCAGACTACACAACATACAGCACAGTGTACAGCAAGATACAGTACATACACAACAGCATACAGCACAGTGTACAGCAAGATAGAGCACACACGACAGCATACAGTACAGCATATAGCAAGGTACAGATCAAATACCCTAACATACAGCACTACGTACAGCACCCACACCACAGCATACAGCAAGGTACAGCACTGCATACAGCAAGGTACAGCACCTACACAACATACAGCAAGGTACAGCACAAACACAATTCTGAACACAGCAAGGTACGGCAAACAACACATTCAGACACAAAAAGCTAACACAACTATACAACATATTATACACGTTGTTTACACCAGGTTATCAAAGGCACATTATTATAAAGTACATCATTGCATGACAAATAAAACCTTTAAAAAAAGTATTTCTGCATAATATTTCACCCCAAAGAAAACATTTATATAAACCAAACTATTGTTGTATTTCTTGTAGTGACAGAATAAAATGAACACAATCAAAATGATTTAACACGCTTTGCAAATAATACATCATGAAATGACAGCCCCAAGTAGTTTTCTTTCTGAGCAACACACTTCAAAGGAATTGATAAGGCTGGAGCGATTCTTGAAACATAAAGAACTAAAATGCATGCTAGTTATTTATAGATTAAAAACTCTTTTCACACAGTATTTCAAATAATGTCAACACAATATAAACATTGATTCTGCTTGTTATAATGCAAGGCTTTTTTTCTTAGTTTTTAAAAATTGGGTGTTAATACCGGTATTTTAACATCACAACCCTAGGCACAACCCAGGCACAACCCGATTTAGTGAAGTTATCCAAGCAAGGCTGAAAACATTAAGGCAGAAAATATTGAAAAAAAAACAAACAACAGAGTTGCCAAATTGGCAGTTAATTTTGTAAAATTCAAATTTGGAATACCATGACAACATAAGGCAAAACATTTGTTGGATGAACACAAGCAATGTTGGAAGAATGTTGAAGAGGAATGTTCATGCACAACAGATTATTTCAATGTTTTTTTTTATGTAGAAGGTTAGATCACCCTGTTCTGTTTACATAACAAGGTTAAAAAACTTCACAAAAATAAAAGTTTTAATAAAAATGTCAGTGAGTTTTCTTATCTGGCAAGCTTCAAGATTTGTCAGTTTTGGCTGATGGTTAGTGCACACAAATTATTGGAACCAAAATCAGTTATCTGCTTAATTGGTAGATTATAGTTGGTGGAGCTTCCTGCAATGACTAATTGTGTTTAGGCCAAACTGTGGTCAAGTTTCATAGGAGGAAGCCAGATTAGTAGTTGGCTGAATCATAAGTCATTGGTTGATATTGAAACTGGTATATGACTGGATTGAAAGTCATTGGTTCAAAATGAAACTGCAATCTGAAGGATTTTAAAGTCATTGGCTGTAATGAAACTGCGATTTGACTGATTCTAAAGTCATTGGCTGATAATGAAACTGTATTTGACTGATTCTAAAGTCATTGGCTGATAATGAAACTGCTATTTGACTGATTCTAAAGTCATTGGCTGATAAAGTTATTGCAAGCAGGCGAATTTTAATAACAGTGCCATTGATCTTCACCATGGTCGCCATGTTGATGTAGTTCTGATGACAGTGTTTCCGTTGTTGTTGTAGTTGTTGGTGTTGGTGATGACGTTGATGCCGCTGCTGCTGTAGTTGGTGTTGATAATAACAGAACTGGTGGCTGGTTTGGGTAGGGTTGATGGTGCAGGTGGTGGGGATGAAATGGTTTCGGATTTAATGGTATGGGGTGGTAGCACTGATGATGCTGAGGAGTGGACAGGGGATTGTCTTCTTTGGGGAGGTGTGGCAGGACGTTTGTATGGGGCTGAAGCTTCAGGTCGTTGTTGACGGGATGGTTTGGTGACCAGCGCTATGGGACTGTTGTTGGATGCCAGACGAGACTTGTAGTCTTCAACAGCTCTGGAGAGCTGCTCTTGGCTGGAGACTGGCTCTTGGTGCCGGGTGATTTGTTGCGCTGTGTAGAAGTTCATGGATGGAACTGTTTGAGGTGCCAGAACCAGAGCGACTTGACCGGAAGGGAGGGTGCTGGGTACTAGATGAAGCTGAGCTGATGTTGCGATGCAGGGGATTTGTAGGTTAGACTGCGGGCTCATGCCAGAGGAGATGGGAGTCTGGAAGGCCGTGGGGGATTCAGAGATGACGGGTTTGACGTCGATGTTGGTGTTGGTTTGTGTGACGTAGGCGTGGTGTGGCTGGTTGTTGTTGGTGTCTATGGTCAGGATCTGCGCGGAGGGCGTCAGGTACACGCTCTGCTGCTGGTGTTGCTGATGTAGCTGAAGGTGCTGCAGGTGATGCTGCTGTGTGGGGGACGGCGCCGGGAGGATGGGGGTGTGGTTCTGCTGGAGGGGCAGGTTGTTGATTGGCGTCAGGATAGACGCCAGGTGAGTCAGGATTCTGGTGCGGGCCTCTTCGTTGACGCCTTGAGACTCCCCGAGGTACTTTATGACCTCACTGGCGCACTCGTTGAACCCGGCTCTGTACTTGCTGATAGCGTCTGGCACTGAGAAGACAAATACAAGAACTTAAATACAAATCTTTAGGATCTTTAATAGAAATATTTATGATCTTTAAAGAAATCTTCAAGATTATAAGAAATCTTCAAGATTATAAGAAATCTTCATGATCTTTAAAGAAATCTTCAAGATATTTAAAGAAATCTTCAAGATATTTAAAGAAATCTTCAAGATCTTTTTAAAAATCTTCAAGATCACAAGAAATCTTCATGATCTTTAAAGAAATCCTCATAATCTTTAAAGAAATCTTCATGATCTTGAATACAAATTTATTTACATGTAAGCGGGTAAAAACATTTGATTTATTGCCAACATATTGTAATTATTACTAAAAGGATGTTCTTACCATTTGTCTGGAAACGCTGAACATTCTTCAGATGTTTGACCGTTAGCTCCAATATATCAGCCTTTTCTAGCTTGGAATATTGTGAATTCTGCAAGAACAATACGAAAAAACTATTATTACAAATCCACCTTTGAAATCAGTTTGACTTAATATTATTCATATTTTCAATACTTTTTCTTTTTTTTTTTATTGTTTTGATTACGGGGTGAAAGTTTTTGTTAGTACAAGGCTGTCACATGTACCACCCCTCCCCCCACCCCTTTTTTTTCTTTAGTGCTAAACACCAACGTCAACCGTAACTGCGATTTACGCGGTCTTCACCTTTGACCTTCGCACACACACAGCTGATTGTGGGGGTCAGGTATTGATCTAGCAATTAACAGTCGCTGGTTACTGCGATACTCGAGTTTATTGGCCAGCACCGAAGGGGTTAATCCCGTGTCAAGTAGCCGGACCAGAGTTGCCGGGTCCGGCCTAGATAGCGGCCGTGTTTGCCGTTCGATAAAAGTCCCATCTCTTAAGCGGCGTTTAAACAACGCGCTCGATAAGCCCGTTTAAACAATGGCTGGCCGGGCCTGATGAAATACGACGAGCCAAGTTGGTGGCCCTGATGAAATGTGGCCCTGATGAAATATGGCCCACTGAGCCAGTGGTCAAAGTTGAACCAAGGCGAGCACGATGTTGGCCGTAGCGGTGGTTGACCAAGGTGATATTTTACAAGGGTGTGTCAGATAGTGTGAGCGATAGTTTTAAAGCCAAGAAAAGCCGTTGAATAGTTGATATTTTACAAGGGTGTATCAGATAGTGTGAGTGATAGTTTTAAAGCCAAGAAAAGCCGTTGAATGGTTGATATTTTAGTTGAATGGTTGATATTTTACAAGGGTGTATCAGATAGTGTGAGTGATAGTTTTAAAGCCAAGAAAAGCCGTTGAATGGTTGATATTTTAGTTGAATGGTTGATATTTTACAATGGTGTATCAGATAGTGTGAGCGATAGTTTTAAAGCCAAGAAAAGCCGTTGAATGGTTGATATTTTACAAGTGTGTATCGGACAGCGTGAACGTTAGTTGTAAAGTCAAGAAAAAAGTTGAATACTTGTATGAAGTGGTCAAATAAAGAGTAAAACTAGACTGATAATAGAGAATAGTCTCGAAAATGTTAGCTCTATACATAACTAAACGCTATAGAGTCTAGTGTAAAGAAGTGACACTAGGGGTCAAAGTTGAGCTAAGAGAAGCTGGTACATTGTAGAAGAAGCGTGTTATTTCTTTTTGGGGGATAGCGTTGTCAAAGTCAAGGCGAATTAGCTGTGATATTTTTTTCCACACACGGTTTAGACCTCACATGCAGTTAACTGGACGCTATGACCCCACAGGCATTGCCCCTAAGCCCCGGGGAGAGATGGGGTTAAGAGGGTGTAGGTTATGATGGAGGTTAAAGTTCGCAGTGCGAGCTGCTTTATTGGAGGCTATTGTCTAGGTTGAAAAACATGGAAAGGGGGTTAAAGAAGTGAATGGGGGGGGGGGATCTTTAGTGCACGTCACACGATTGAAGGTAGCTGGACAGATCAGTTAGACATAATGGAAGGAGAGGGGTTGTGGTGGGGGTCAGATCTCTGAGTGCAGGTCACTGCTGTAACTACCCCCCTCCCGGGCTGACGACCCCCGGGTAATCTGAGTCGAGCCGAGGGCAGGTAGCCGGGCGCTACCTGCTAGCCAGGGGTCAGGGGTCTCCCAGCCAAGGGTCGCCGGGGTTTGAAAGACAAGTTGTTCCAGATGAGGAAAAATAAACGCCCAGAGTTTCCCCGGGGACGGGGGAATCGCCGAGTGATAGCGAGTGGGATGGTGGGTAGGGCAACAAGGGAGAGGCATGTGTAAACACAGCTTTCAGACGATGGTACGGTTTGTCTAGCTAAACGGAGGACCCGTACCCCGTTGGCGTCCAAATGGCTGGTTGAGCTATTCGGAGGTCTACTATGGAATGAAAGTGTCCTAATAACCAGTTTAGTAATTTTTATGTGCCTATAGGTTTGAATGCTTTGTAATAGCTAGTTTAACTAACATGAGAAAAATATGTGCAATAAACGTATAATTCACACCATAAAGCTCATAAAATGATGACGTCACAATTATTTTTTTTTAGAATTCTGGACTAAATGCAAAGATTTTGGAATTTGTTTTCAACTTTTGGCCTATCTTTTCAAAGGAAATCTGGACTTTCCAGGAAATCTAGTTCACAATTTTTTTTAACTCAACATAAAACCCATTTAATTTTTTTTTTCGTAAAAAAAAAATTATTTCCCTAGCTTCATAAAACATCCTAAAATGGAAGTTTTCTTAAAAACTCGTTAAAACAAATACAATCGCTGGAACCAGGAAGAAAATTGAATTGTTTCATATCCTGCTTAGTTTTACACATCCCCGTTTAATCATCTGCTCATTTTTAATTTTTTTTTCATTTTGTGACTGCTAGTCGACAGACTTCATCATTTTGGTGATATCGCGCACGTTACAAATGTCAGAGCGCGAACAGAGTAGCTTCCCATCATATGTTGAGAGGAGGGACGAAAAGGTCGCACAGTTAAGCGTGGATTAGGCGATGTGTGAGGGGGAGTAGGGGGGGGGGGCACAATGTGTGTGTGTGGGGGCGTAGTGTGTGGTGGGGGGTTCAGAATGTGGGGGCACAGTGTGAGTGTTTGTGGGGGGGAGCTAATGCTCACTTGGAGAATTTTTTAAATTAAAAAAACGCAATTATGTTTCCTTCCTAACGGTTTTTTTTTTGTTTTTGTTTTTTAAGAAAAGGAATCTAATTGGAGAGGCTCGCTATCGCAACCGTTATCAGCACCTGTCTGCTAATTTAGAATTATTTCTTAATTACAGGAGGAAGTCGTTTGGTTACTCAACTGCCACAAAGACAGGTCGAAAACATTTATTTTGAGATTTTTTTGTTACACAACTGCTACAAAGACAGGTCGAAAAAAATTATTTTGAGATTTTTTGTTACACAATGCTATAGAAGCAGGTGAGAAAATGACGCGATTTTGTAAACGAGGGAAGAGATCCCTTATCATTTGTGAATGTCAGGTGGGGGGGGGGGGGGGGGGGTATTTACATAGGGGTTTCAATTAGATTCATCTTAAATTCACATAAGACGCTTTAACACGCCTTTAACAGAAGTTGAATAAAATAATATTCTCGGATTTTAAAAAATCATTTTGACGATTATGGCTTTTAGCATTATAATTAGACCTAAAGAAAATGTAATTATTTTTATCGCATTTTCATTGCATTTAAATTTAAAAGCATGTTGGGTGTTGAATGACTGTTTGCCACTAAGTTCATGCTTGTTGACTGATGTACAAGATGCACTTACATCACAATTTAATACATCAGGTACCACGGTGTAAGCTTGTAATGTAAATATGGGTAGGTACCTTTTTCGGGTATTGATATAATCTGGGAAGGGGGCGGGGCGTGTATTCATGGAAAGGTAATCTATGATACCAGTGATCCCTCAAATCTTAGCTAGTTTAACATTGGCTTATCCTTACATTAACTAATCAGGATCAGAAGATTAAAAGTGGCTTATCCTGAGTTTAATTAATTATGATCAGAATCTGAATAATCCCCATTTAAGTGACTTACATCTTTCTTCATGGCTTGTAGGACGAGAGATTTGAGTTGGGACAGGCAGGAGTTGATCCTGGCCCTTCGCTTCTTCTCCATCATGGGCTTGTTGCTCTGTGGACAAACACAATATGACGTCAGCACATTGTGACGTCAGCACATTGTGTGGTGGACATTCAACACAAGACGGAAGTTACGTCACATAAACACATTGTGGGGTGGACAGTTCAACACAAGACTGACGTGTAGTTACATCAACACACTACGGCCTTGACAAATTTGTATAACGATTTATCGGAGCTAAAGCTGTTTCAGAGGCTGCACGCTTATATACGCCACTGCTGGCTTTGATGGCGGGGATAATTAAATGAGCTCAATGAGCTTTCATTAATAGTCGTACAAAAATAAAAAAAAGTGCAGCTTGTCTAATACAGTGTTTTCGAGGGCTGAGTGTAGAACGTTCTCAATTTATGCTGGGTACCAATTATAGCTGGATAGAATGTGTAACGCACTCTTAGTAATCGACTGGTTTTTAACGACAATTAAATGAAATTAACATTGATCTAATTAACGCGAGGCGAATGTCAAAATCAATTACCTCCCGAGGCAATTAAAAGAGCCTCATTAAAAACGTAATAATTGTGTGATGTGATTGAATAAGATCTTGGAAGATACTTTACTAAACACAGTTTAACACGGGCTTATTATCATTTCATCTTTAAATAGCACTTCGTTTTTGAGGACAACATTTTTAACAAAATTGAAATTCAGAAAGACAGTCTAATTAATAATAGGCCTAGCCTAATGTTATTGAACTAAGGAATTCATATAATGTAATTAGTGAAAGAGGTGTTGTGTAAGTAGAGGTCTTAAATTTCAAAAATCTATTATTTCACCACGAACTGGTAGATCAAGTTATAGATTGTTATTTATGAGGTCTTATGTAAGTAGAGGTCTTAAAATCTTAAAAATCTATTATTTCACCATCAACTGGTAGATCTAGTAGGCCTAATAGGTTGTTATTATTATACAATACATATAGGCCTACATAGTACATACATCATCAGACATGCTCACTGTTTAAGTGTTTAACTAACCTACCCAGCAAATAGTAAAGTATTATGTTACTCACCTTTCGGTAATTAGTTTTGTCGTCCATGTTCTTGGGGCTGTAGTCACCGGTCGACGATGTGGGAGACGATAGATCCGCTTCTGTCATCATTAGTCAATGGGACAGTTTGTTGTGCACTACGTCACAACTCTCTGGGGGCGACGTCACAACAGACTGATGCTACGTCACAACACAAGTAAAAAAAAATAACTATACACGGTGGTCGATGTTTGAAGTTCTTCAATTAACCAAAAAGGAAAAGTCCGTTCACGTATGGTTTCGGTGAGTGAGTATGAATGTCCGCATGTGGTAGAAATAAAATCCCAGACTAGCGAGGTCTACTTCTAAGATTGGTCGTAGAGGCAGTGGAGCGATGTGTTCACCGACGATGTGAAAGTTGTTAATTCAAGCCCACAGCTCAAGTCGAGGCGGTAATATAGTGGCCAAGCGTGGGACCCTACACCCAAATCCGTGATAACATCCCCCTCCCCCTTTTTCCTTTACTTTAAAAAAAAAAGTCAGACATAAGAGAAGGGAAGGGGGGATGGGGGGCGGGGTTGTCCGGCCCTAAAGCCATCAGGTGGTTACGTTTGGATTGTTTTGAATACCTCGCGGGGGATCGTAACGAGGTGGCTGTGGGATAGTCAAACACGACCCCCTCCCCCAACTCCACGTCAGTTGTCCATTTTCGTTTCCCACTCTCTCCCCTTCCCCCCTCCCCCGGTGCAGGAGGGTAGGGGTCAGCCCTCAGCGCCTCAGATAGCCCCGGTGTGAAGCAACAAGTCGTCCCTTTCCCACGCTCGCGAGCTCCAACCACCGACCAATCAAACCGCACGGAATACGCCGAGCTCGCTTCGACACCCTTCGGCTCGTGACCTCCCCGCGTTCCTATTGGCCAACGGCGCGCTGGCGAGAAAGAGGGGAAAACACCCTTCCCCCCGCGTCGGGATTTTTTAAGGTGTCAATCAAGTTCAGAAGTGCTACTCAATAAATAGCCCTCGCGTGCCTGAAGAGGCGAGTCGGACCGAATATTCCCTTGGGAAAACTCCGCCTACAGGGGAAATAATTCAGGATAAACTGCTCTACAGGTGGTTTTCAAAATATATTTTTTCAGCCGCTAGAGTCGCGTCCCCTTGGACACGGACCCCCGCAAGATTGGAACCATATTGACGATGATTCAGACACGTCAGCAAATAAATGGCGTTAAGGGCTGTAGCGCATAAGAATAAACAATCAACACGAATACATACACAGTGATATTTACCCTTATAAAAAATAAAATAAAAGTTATACATCGTTATCTCTCTCACCAATCTTTGTTAATAAAAGCCGGTATTTAGTACTATTTGTGTTAGTATCGCCGGAATTTAATACTTTTTAGGATAGTATCGCTACCATGATACAAGCTATTATGCTTACCTCGACCCAAACGCTGATCATAATCCTGCTTCTGATCCTTTTCCTAAAATAGATACCACCATAAGAGAAGAAAAAAAGTATTAATACTAGAGGTCTAATGTATAATGTCATGTTGGTGTTGTTTAAATAACCAGAAGAATTGTCGCTATTAATATAATGAAAACGCAAAATTGTACAATATCATTTTTGTCGGTTTTACAGAGGCGTAGCGACGGGGGGTGGGTGGGGTACATATGTCCCCGGGCGCCGACTCTAGGTGCGCCAAAATAAGCTCATTTTAGAGGTTATATTAAATTACAAATATAAAAAAATATATGGGGGGGGGCGGGGGCGCCAAATTGAAATTTCTCCCCGGGCGCCGGGAGGGGTCGCTACGCCTCTGCGGTATTACTATACTATATTATACGGGTCAGAGTTGGGGTCAATACTAAATACTATGGCCAAGACTGGGTTTAAATTAGGGCTAAGATTAAAGCTAGGACACGTTAGAACAACGATACTTATAAAAATAACTTTAGCCCCCAATACGTCCAGCTATATAAACAAGTAAACTCCACACCTATCGCCACATTTTTACCGTGCAAAAACTTAAGCACTTCTAATAACTACTTACGTTTTTTGTACGCCTACATAAAAAAATGCACTTGCACGCTTCACCACCCGCGTAACAAGAGAAGTCTAATTTAGTGCTTGAAACCTTCCCCAAGTCCCCCCATTCAATGCCATTATATTGTTGTTCTACCATGCTGGTTTACTGTCCTACCCTGGTCAAAGGGAATTGTTTGTTTTCTTCTTATCGCTGTGTGCAACTTTCTTCAAGATCCATCCCCCCGGAACTTTTATTATGGGCGTAAAAAAACTAACCCCGCACCGGAGCTAAAACAGGAACGGTGAAGATAATGAGATAGTCAAAGGACGGTGAAAAGGTTTGATTATTTTACCAGGAGTGCGACTTTTGGTGTACGGCGGTGTCGCGTTTCGTGTCTTATACTGCCCCGGTTGGCTTTGATTTACAAGGGAGGGTTGGCTTTCGTGTAAGGTTAACTTTGTAGGGAGGGATTAGCTAAACTTTAGAAGGATTAACTGTATGGTAAAAGGGATTAGTTGTATTGTACAAGGATTAGCGGTATTGTAAAGGGATTAGTTGTTTTAGGAAGAAAGAGAAAAAAAAGGGTATTGTACGAAATGTGAGTAGGGTAGAGGTATTTGGGAGCACAATACATTAGTTAGATGTGCAGTCGTGGGATAAGCTTTGTGTAGCCTGCGCCATTGTTGTGTGCGGCTTATGCCGGGTACTCGTCGAAGCTGAGCAGACTCAAGCCCGGAGACAAAATATGTACAATCAGAAACTTGATACTTTCGGATTAGCATAGTCTCGCGCGCTATCACCCGACCAGACTGCTCGTTTAAAATGTAAGCCAGGTCTTGTGGAGTTTTTTTTTTTTTTTTTTTTTTTTTTTTTTTTTTTTTGTAAGTGTGTATTAAAAGTTGGAGTATCGTAAATAAAACAAAATAAAATATGACTTGGATGAGATGTTATTTTTTATGCGATATCTTGCATTAACATCATGTACTACAAGAAAGGTATAAGCGTATATAACTGTTAATACAAGGGCCAATGTGGGATAAAGGGCGAAATTTTCCAACACTTACAAACAAATACAGCGATTATTATACTTTCTTATATTCACCGTGTCGAATTTACATTTTTTGGAAAAATAAAGCTTGTATAATAATATGCAATTATACAACATTAGCAAAGTAATGCCCTTTCTGTTCTCTACAGCCAGTAGTAGTAGTATCCACCTCTTTTTTTTACCCAGGTATATTAGTATGTAGCTATTGTGTAGTTAGCAGTAAGCCGTTGCAACGTCTCTTTCACTAACTCTAGTCTGATGCCCAACATAGACTCTCTAGTACTGCGTACACCGTGAACCGAACTCGAACCTTACAAGTCATATCGAGGGCGCGCTATTTCTCAACCACATCCCTCTGACACCTGGTAATTTGCTTTGGTACACATTGATACATTATCAAGTGTATGAAAGTAGTATGGATGGCTTTTACTAATAAAGAAATCCTCACACATTCTCTATCCCGGGGATCAGTTGCTTCTACGAGCAGCATACAACTAAGTCTAATTAAAAATAAGGTAAGGAAAGTTCCCCTTTCACACCTGACATAGGACTGATGAGGTTGAGTTAATTTGTTTCATGTCCACGATTTATACAAGGATAGTGTGGTCAACGCTATGTCCCTCCTGTCCACATAAACGCAACTAATGGTTGTACTCTATATAAGTCAGTTCTTTTAAACTCCAATACCGGTCAATCAGTTATTGTCTGTAGTTAGTCTTCTGTCGGTAACTTTGTTAGGATTAGTATTTTGGACAAAGAACGTGTTAAAGTTAGAGTCGGGGTTATCTTATAACACGGCCATTTTGTCGGTGACCGCGAACATGTTGAAACCCACCCGTTCCCGTGACGTATCTTGTATGATTTATGTTTTAATTATAAGTGCCAGGGCTAGGTGCCCGGCGGTCCGGCACGCATAAAGCTGTCTGGCACCGGGGGTCAAATAACCGGCAGCACACAGGGGTCGTATAGCGCGGGGGTCCCGTCACTGACACGGCAATTTCAGGCCCGTTTCCGGATGGCTGAGATTGAAACGAGACACGTTTACTGCGCATGCGTGCGGAGTGGCAATGATGGAGCAGGAGGGGGTGTTGTGGATGGTTGACGTGCCGGCTACCACGGCTGTACGGTGCCGGAACTCACGTGAAGAGAGACGTCACGTGAATGATTAGTTGTGGTACTCACACTAAATGCAATTCTGACCCAACTCTTGCCCCAGCCCTAACATTGACCACAGCCCTGACATTGACATCAACCCCAGCCCTGACATTGACATCAACCCCAGCCCTGACATTGACATCAACCCCAGCCCTGACATTGACATCAACCCCAGCCCTAACATTGACATCAGCCCCAGCCCTGACATTGACATCAGCCCCTGCCCCAACCCTGACATTGACATCAACCCCAGCCCTGACATTAACCACAGCCCTGACATTGACATCAGCCCCAGCCCTGACATTGACATCAACCCCAGCCCTGACATTGACATCAGCCCCAGCCCTGACATTGACATCAGCCCCAGTCCTGACATTGACATCAACCCCAGCCCTGACATTGACATCAACCCCAGCCCTGACATTGACATCAACCCCAACCCCAAGCCCTGACATTGACATCAACCCCAAACCTGACATTGACATCGACCCCAACCCCAATGCCTGACATTGACATCAACCCCAGCCCTGACATTGACATCAACCCCAACCCCAAGCCCTGACATTGACATCAACCCCAAACCTGACATTGACATCGACCCCAATCCCAATGCCTGACATTGACATCAACCCCAGCCCTGACATTGACATCAACCCCAACCCCAAGCCCTGACATTGACATCAACCCCAAACCTGACATTGACATCGACCCCAACCCCAATGCCTGACATTGACATCAACCCCAGCCCTGACATTGACATCAACCCCAACCCCAAGCCCTGACATTGACATCAACCCCAAACCTGACATTGACATCGACCCCAACCCCAAAACCTGACATTGACATCATCCCCAACCCTGGCATTGACATCAACCCCAACCCCAAGCCCTGACATTGACATCAACCCCAAACCTGACATTGACATCGACCCCAAACCTGACATTGACATCGACCCCAGCCCTAACATCCCATATATGTAGGTTGGACTGAAATGTATGTTTGGTTTTTGGACAATTCGTAATACACAAGTAATCTACACCTTTTTTGTCAGGGAGGGGGGGGTGGGATTCACAAAGGTAAATACAGGGGGTGGGTGGACTACTGACTGTGGAGTACAGTCGACCGTATTTACGGGTAAGGGTTATGTATGATTAACTATTGAAATTGTATGCTAACAAGTTTTTTTTAACTCAATGACGCGTTTTAAATTCGAATAAATATATAACCAGATTCGAAGTTCATAAGTTAATTTTGATTACCAATCTATAAATTGTTTCAATAATTAAATATTGTTTCAACGCTCTGTGGTCTGGAGGTGTATGACAGTTTCATAATTCATATAACCCTGCATTCTAAAGACATTTTGGGCTACTCTATAAGTAGAGTCGCTTCACGTGGGAGGTTGGGGGGGGGGGGGGGGGGGGGGGGGGGGGAAGAGACTGCGATTCAAATTGGAATAAACAATAAGACTTCCACTGTGTATTGCCAGCTAACAACACTTTAATGATGTTACACCTCAAATAACTTTAAATTTATTATTTAATAAAGCTAGTGCGTTTCATTTGGGGAAAAAACTTAAATAATAGTTTCAAAATTTAACCAATATAGAGATTAGTCTAGCATTCGTATTGCGCTTTTAATACTGATAAAACAAGGTAATATTCTTTTAAAAATATTGTTCACATTTATTACTACTAAATTTATTGGCATTTTATTGACTTTTGAAAATAATTTTATATGTTATCTCCCTTAACAGTTCAAAATGTGCAAATGGGAAGTAACTACATCAAAATGTTATATACAAATATTTAATTAACCAGTTTTCAACATCGAAATATGTCTTAATTATCTTAACCCACAGATCTTAATCAATTTATTTTATTGGTTATTAAATATAGATTTAATATAAACCTATATGATATATCTGTACCCGTTGCAGGACCCAGACCTAAACCTCGAGCCAAACACGGCCGCAGAGTTTCTTCCAGGCATCTCTTCGGTGGGGAGGGGGGGGAGAGATGAAAGTCTACCGCTCCCCCCCCCCCCCCCCCCCCGAACGAGATGGACTTTATATAATAAACATACACTTTTACTAGTGTGTGTCCCCCGCCCGCCGAAAAATGTTGACCGCCCCCCCCCCCCCCCCCCCCCGAAAATTTCAAGTGCCCCCCCCCCCCCCCCCCCCCCCCCCCGGAGAAAAAAAAGTCTGGAAGAAACACTGCACGGCCGACATGCAAACTTAAAAAACGTCAATGTTTCCTCAAACTATTATAACTTTTCTGACACCCACCATACAATGACTCGCCACCATGTGTGACTAGTCCATCCCCACCCCCAGCGCTCACACCGTCCGCCATTGTTTCCCGTGACGTCACGCCATGACGTATCACACCCCACCTTTCATCCTCCCCCCTTTCGCACCACATTTTATCGCCGGAGCCAGCGACAGTGATAATTATACCCGCCCTTTGATCTGCCGTGTTTGTTTTCCGGCTGATTTGCCGTGGACCGGCCCGAAGGTCCCCGTGTATAATTGGACAAAAGACAAATTTGCCGAGGCCGTGACAGACAATTACCACCTTGTCCAGGCACACAAAGGTCCAATTCTTCGCATGGCCTTCACGGCCAAGATCAGAATCGGTATTGGATCTCGAATTTTCTGCAACCAAAAAAAAAAATTGTATAAAAAATGAACGGAAATCTCACCATATTTGTGATGTAGAAATTAGCAAGTAAATGTTTGATTAACGCTAAAATGTTTTTGTTTTAAGATAATTGTTGTTTTTGGGTCGTAAATAAATAAACTTTTTATCAGTTACTTGTTTTAAATCGTGCTTTGTTTTGTAAGAAAAATATATTGTGTTTGATTTTTAGTGTTGATGAGGGGTGGGAGATATTTTCGTTGTATAATTCGTGTTTGATAACACTGCGGTGTTGTTTTTAATTAATGATTAAAAATGTGTCGTTTATCGAAGGTAATCGAAAGCAATCGCTTTATCGAAATATTTGTTATTAGGCCTTAACACAAACATAAACGCGCGTTTACAAAACTGAAACTCACACACTGAAACAAACCCCCCCCCCCCCCCCACCCCTCTGAACACACACTGACCAAGCACAAACATCCAACCCCCCACCCCCCTTTACACACACTGACACCCAATGTGTGGCTAATCACGATCAGAACAAAAACAAACACAACACTCGCCGCAACTTTAAACAACCACTCAAGGTCAGTCAAGGTCACATTAAAAAAATACTCGCAGTACCCAACTATTATGTATACAAAACAAACATTGTATCGATATTTAAATAAATAAAAAAATATCACTACAATGACCCCCTCTCATCCGCTCCCCCCCCCCCCTCTCACCAACACCACGCCCCCTCGTCTTAACCCTAACGTCACCCTCCGAGTTAAACTATAAATTAAACTGTATTTTTAATACAGACCAATCCAAAACCCCCACATATTTTTTTCTCATTAACAACACTAAACCCTCCCGACTACTCCCCCACACTGCATTCTTATGATAAAGGCGCGCGCTCAATCCATTGTTCAACGCATTCCATGTCCTGAAGGACACTTCTAACCTGGACACACACAGGACACATCTCCACCAAATAACCCTTCAAATATACGGTGAGTAAAAAAATTGTCCACTTTACCCCCTCCCTACAATTCTGACCATTGTAACCCGAGCCCGTCTCGCGCTAAACAAAGATTTACATTTCTTTCTATCCATATATCAAAACCGTCACGCTTGGTTAACCCGGGAGACAGGTATCAAGAAAGACAAGGTGAGTTTGGACCAAGGTGACACCTTCACCGTCCAGCTTCTCCAAACTGTGGTTTTTGCACCTATTATTACCTTTTTTTTCCTTCTTTCTCTCATCGCCGTGAATAGATTAACAACGGTCACAAAATCTTGCTAGAATCATTCCACCCCTCAAACACACCCACCCCACACCTACACTAAAACACCCCTGGAGGGGTGGGGGATATAGGTGAAATACCCACTCGTACAATACACAAGGCTGGCTGTCCAAACAGAGAACCAGTTGTTGAATTCGCATGAGGAAACAATACCCCCCCCCCCCTCTAGGGTTAACAAAAGTCGGGGTCGGATCAAAGGTCAATCGCCGAATGGACACGGCAACAATGTAGCCGGGTAAGCAAATCTGTTGACTGGGGGGACGGTTGATCCAATTAGACGGACGCCCGAGTCGGCGCTTTTGTTGCTCACGCACAATGGCCGGACCGGCAACGGTGTGTGACGTCAAGGGTAAACACCGCGCGTGATTTCGGACAACGGTCTAGACAACCAATCGCCATCGAGCGCGGGTTCGAATCTCGATTGCGCCTTGTTTGTTTTTAACGTCTAGATTTGTTTCCTCGTGAAGTCGCCATCCTCCTCTTAACTCAGTACTTGAGGGTAATTTGATAGAACAGATTGGTTGCTGATCTTCTATACGTGAATAGCCTTGTGAAAACTATCCCAAATAAGAATTGTGTAAGTCGTATGTGATTTGCGCATTTTGAGAATAGTGACACTGACAACAGCCGGCGAGGATGTTGAGTAGCGGTCTCGTATCCTGCTTTGTCTGTCATGTGACAGTGTTTTCAACACTATTGTGACATTGAAATAATAATAATTGTGTCTTTCAACCTTTTCAATACTATGCTAGAACTTGGGCGGGGGAACTGAGGTTAAGCTGTTAAGAGAAAATGAATTAGGCATAATGCTTACTTTAATGTTGTTATCAATTCTATGAGAAAATTTACTAGAGCATAATTTAAGCTTGAATTTCTAACGAATTGTGATGTATATAGTATATGTCTCTCAGTGAGGAGGCGGTTCTATATCAGAATGTAGAGCTAATGGAAGTATTGTCCATGTGAGTTTCTATTATAATGAGAATATCTCAGATAGTAGGCTATAACTGATGTGTATGTTTTTACTCGTTGAAAAGCGAAAGTCTCAAGAATAGAATTCTTGCACTTGGAGTCAGGCAGGCACAAACTTTATCGTGGCAAGTCTGAGAATTTATGATATTGCTGGAGTCAGTAAACTTAGGGGCGAGATATGGAGTCAGTAAACTTAGAGGCTAGATATGGAGTCAGTAAACTTAGAGGCTAGATATGGAGTCAGTAAGCTTAGGGGCGAGATATGGAGTCAGTAAACTTAGAGGCTAGATATGGAGTCATTAAACTTAGGGGAGAGATATGGAGTCAGTCAACTTGGTCCAGCGAAATATGGAGTCAGTAAACTTGGTCCAGCGAGATATGGAGTCATTAAACTTAGGGGCGAGATATGGAGTCAGTAAACTTAGGGGCGAGATGTGGAGTCATTAAACTTAGGAGAGTTATGGAGTCATTAAACTTAGGGGAGATATGGAGTCATTAAACTTAGGGGCGAGATATGGAGTCAGTAAACTTAGGGGCGAGATA